GAAAATATAATTGCTTGCGGCGACTCCTTATTTTTTCCTTTTTCCTATTTGCAGCTAGTTTAATTTGGGTTATTTGGTCCTAGTCATATAGCCATGCCATAGGCATCTTTGATCTTTCTCTGGTAGCGTATGCTAATTCCATGCTACTCCAAATTTCTATATTGATATAAAGATATATGATGAAATCGATGGGAAAAAACTTCCCTTTTTCTTCTGACTTTAAGGTTCAAAATTTATAAAAAAAAACTGAAAATACGTGGAAAGACAAAACGATTTAAAGTTAATTCGGATTACATTTTTTCTGACTTTTAGGTTCAAAAATTATAAATAACTAAAAATACGTTGAAAGACAAACTGATTTAAACTTAATACATTATCCGTGAAATGTAATGAAAAACTTACATTTTTTTTGACAAAATGAAAAACTTACTTTGAAAAAGCAACCCACGCGTTATTTTACTTTAGTAATGCATTACGCCATTAACCACGAGCAATAGTAATACAAAACAATGTTTGGTAAACGTCGTGACGAAAAATGACGGTTTAATCACTTTAGCGTTTTCAATAACTGAAAAAGCAGTTTGGTAAATAGTTATTCGGCACTAACGTTTTTGGACGGAAATGTTGAAATGAAAACGTTGCTAATATGAGAGTTTTAGATTTACGTTTTAAAAATGGCATTTAATTTTCTACAAATTTTATGGTCAAACAGTTGAATTACCCGATATCTTCTAACAACCCGCCAATTTGTTCCGCTGACCAAACTCGCTGACCGAATCTGCTAACCGCTGAATGCCAAACACGTCCATGATGTTAATCATGCTATTAAATTAAGTGAAAAATAATTCACACTTGTATAAATTATCTTAGCAATAATATTTTTTCATTTACAAATGTAAATTTATGGTAGTGTTGAAAGCATTTTTGAGAATACATTTAAGGGTTTTTTACAAGAATATTACCAAAATAAAACATATTTACATAAATATGACTATTCATTATTACAATGTGGTGTTGTAGTAACTTAAGTTCAAAACTTGAACATGAATTACTATGATTTTATTACTACTCTAGTATCTATTCATATTTTTGTAAATCATCTTTATTTTGGTCATATTCACGTAATTATTTCTACATTTAACACTCTAAACTTTCATTGCAGAAAAAGTAATATTAAGAGTAAAATTTTGATATTTACGGTCACACGATGTTCACCATTTAACATATTCAAATGACTTTTGCACCATTCACCTCATCTACATTGACTTTATTTTATTGAGTATTGTATAAAACAATTTTCCTATACAAAATATTTAAACCATGTCACAATTTAAAAATTCAAAAAGCGACTACAATCTTTACTAATAATCAATGTTAATGATCAAAGTAGCATGTATTAGCAATTTTAAAATAAGTAGTGTTTTAGCAAATATTAAACTAAAATGGTTGCAACTATATATAGAATTTGGATAAAAAAAAATCTTAACGTGTAAAATGAGAATTAATTGTTAGATTATATTCCAAGATCGGCATCATATAATTATACATAATCATATATTGATAGATCTAAGATTTAGGAATACCTGGATCCATGATAGATGAATGAACTGAAATAAATCCCGTATCCCTTCTAGCCTCTTTCCTTATGAGATTCTTGACAGGTAGAAACCTCTCACTAATATTGTGTTGTTATTCCATAGGGAATAAATGTATATATAGAGGCAGAGGAGAGGGTTGGGGAACCCTAGTCCTAGACAGACTTAAACATAGGTTCAGCCTATCACTAAACCAATTAAATGTCTAGGACTATACGAACTTTATTTATAACATATAACCTCAATTACATGACCAATATTAGAATATTAATAATTAAATAAATATTCTAACATTAATCTCAACTGTCTAAATTGTCGATCCGATGCACCATAACCCCTATCTGTATAGAAAACAGTATGGAGTGCAACAACTTTTACGGCTGAGCTAGGATGGATTTAGTTGGGTGGAGCAATCGAGTGACTAATTAGCTAGTGGTTGGTAAGTGAACAGCAAGTGGGTTCATAATCGAATGGTCTGTCTCCATGACTCATATCCATGTCCAGTGGTTTGTCTCTCTATACTCCACTTGTTATATACAGTTGCGTACAATGAGAGCCCGTTTGGAGAACTCTGTTTTCGGCTTATCAGGCTTATCAGCCAGCTTTTTCACCAAACACGTAACTTTTACTTTCGCGCGCTGAATTGTGTAATAAGCCGAAAAAGTAAGGTTGGAGTTACTTTTCTGGCTGTATTGGCTGAAGTTACTGTAGAGGACCATTTTAGCTATTTTTACATATAATTTTTTCTTTAATTTATTAATAAAATATATTTTTAAAATATTTTTTCTTAAATCAGCAGAATCAGCCAAAACAGCCACTCCAGCCAGAATATCATAAATTTCAGCAGAATCAGCCAAAATAGCCGATTTTGGTGCTACCAAACGGGCTCTAAATATACTAATTATAATTATTGTTCAATATTGAATTGACATCAATAGATTATTAATTGTATTTCGTAACATTTTAATAATAGATTTAATATGTCGCTAGTAATAACAATTTACTATATTTTGTTAGTCTATGATAATTTTTTGTATTGGGAGACATGCACGGTAATTTACCGATACCGTACCGTTACCGAACCGAAACTTCGGTATACCGAAATGCGGTATACCGAAACTTCGGTAAGGTAAAGGTATGCAAATTTTGCATACCGAAAGTTTTGGTATGGCAAAGGTATGAGAAAAAATATAAGGTATACCGTACCGAACCACCCCTAGTTTTTTCTACACTATTTGTTAGAGAGTACTTTCTACTAATTTTTTTCTTAATTAATTTGTTCAAGTAGTACTCCCTCTGTCCCGAATTGAGTTGCAAACTTAGACCAACACAAGAATTAAAGAAGTAAAGATATAAAAAACAGTTTACCATTCTGCCCTTCTTTTGTACTCCGTAAAGATTAAGCAATACCGAAGGAAATACGAAAATACACTTTACAATAATGTTTAAATAATTACAAAACTAGATGAGTTTCCAAAATGGAAAATAATATGGAGTACTTCACTCCTACCCAAATTTTACACTTAGTTTTACCATTACAAACACATGGAAATACTTCCATTGCCAAATGTTAGGTTTCAATTTTCAAAAATAGGACCAATAGCCCCGATGCAACAATTGGATGTTAGCTGGTTGAGTTAGCTGTTTATCATTAGCTGCTTGTATGAGATGTTTTGATTGACTGGTGATGTTAGCTTGTTGTATATAAACGTTTGGTAAAATTAGCTGTTTATGAATAGTTGTTAGAGTGTAAAATGACATATAAGGACACTAGTATATATTTATTAGGAAGTATTTTGTTTACTTGTTTATAATAACCATGTTGTAAATAACTAAATAAGATTAGTTATAAAATAAAAAATAAGTATCAAACAATTGTTTTAAGTTAAAACGGTTAACTTAAATCATAAAAAATCAAATTAAAATATATATAATTGGATTTTCTCTTTTTCTTTGTTTTGATTTTAACTTTTTGCCTTTCGTTTTATTATCCCTTGCGTCTCTGTTCCAGCACCTCTCCACTCCCCCTTTTGTTTTTCTCCCCTCTCACGATTTTTCTTCTCATTCTGCACTTTTGCTCTTTTTTCCCGAATATTTTAATTTTCGATAGCAACTTTATGCTCTATTAGAAAACCTTTAAAAGTGCAGTGATTGCAGTCCCTTCTTTGATCTATTGATCGCAGCTTAATTATTTCCATGTTTTTCTTTTGTTTTTTGCTCCTATTGAAGAAGGAAACCCTATATAGTAGGCGGTAATACCAAATAGATGTACAATCTCGAAAATTTTCTAGTTGTTTGTGCGATGCCATGAGTTTGCCGTTTTCTTGAGAAAATAGTGACGGTGGTGTTGATTTATTCGTGAAGGGAAAATTAGAGGCCAGATTATTGAAGGGCATAAATGGATTAAAGAGAGAAGCTATGCCAAAACGCTAGCCACCCCAACGTTTTCACTTTCGGCTTCTTGAGCCTCACCAGCCAAAACGAACATCTAATTGCCAAACGAAATTATTGGCTGTTGGAGTAGTCAAAGAAGTTGATTTTAGTCAAAGAAGCTGAAACTTGGCTGATAAGCCGTTTCCCAAACATAGCCAAGGTTGAAAACGTTTGGGGTTTTCCGGCACTTGACGAGGTGACAGAGAAGAGGTAGAGCGGCACATTAGAAGGGTAGGAGGGTAAACTTGTCACTTTAATAATGATATTTTTATACTTAAAATGAAAAATGGAAAATCATTTTGGAATAACAAACAAATTTGGGCGCTTCTTTTTGTACACACTTTAATATCCACCTTATACCCATCATGTCTGTAAATCCGATTCACAGACAAAAAAATTTGCAAAGACTTAATTCACAGAAAAAACTCCTCACACACATGGTGAGTATAAAAGTGGGTATACGAGTGAGTACAAACAATTTTTTTGATTTTTTTTTCCAAACTAGGGAGGGAGTATGCATTTTGGGAGTAATAGGTATTGCGAGACACCTACTCCCTCGGTCCCAAAAATTTCTTCCCATTGGCGTTTTGAGATGTCCCAAAAAATAATTTCCATTTTCCTTTTTGAAAAAGTTTTATATGACTTGCATTACTATGACTTTTTTAATAAACGTGTCAAGTTAAATCGGGAAGTATTTTTTGGGACGGAGGTACTATTATAGTAGTCCATGTCAAGCACTAGATTTGGACGGTGTTCTCAAAAGTAAAACTTGTTACTCGCAGTCATGAAAATATGAGTCCTGCTTGGGGTATCCCAATTTGTACCCCAATCTGTACACTGTCTGTACACAGACATTTGGACAGAAAGTTTTGTCTTCTTTCAAACGAATTGCCTATGTATACTGACAATTCAGGGGAGTGGGTACAAAATGACATTTTTGTGAAAATATTGGAGCTTGAAAAAAAGACAAAGGAAAGCATGAGTTTGTTGGTCATGAGCTGAACTTGAAATCGGAGTGGATGATCTAAACTCCGAAGTCGAGTCAAACGGGACTATCACAGACGCTGCATATTCGCCTTCTTCACCAGTCAAAGGATCAGCCGCCCGCCACAACAGTTCAGATTGAGCCAGAATGGGGCACGCGAGCTCAAAATTGGACCTTTCTTCGCCAGACGGCTCGAGGTCGTCTCACTTGTCCCGCGCGGGGAAATTTGGCAAAAGGCTTCACCTTCATCGTCACCATTTCCGTCGTCGGTGTAAAAGTTCTGGTCCCGATTCTGCCTCTCACCTGTCTAAGCTCCTCAAGGATGATGATTTCGCCGGCATCGCTTGTCTTCGTCTCGTAAAAGTACTTGCCATCTCGCATTCTCTGCGAAATCACACGAATATGGACCTGTTTTATGTAAACATCGAAACAGTGATTCTAACTAGTTCATTTCGTTTTATTCCTCGTACAGGCGGAGATGAAGTTCAAGGACAAATGGCTTGCTTGTATCTCGCTTGGTCTGCAAACTTTCCGCACTCATATATCTGACAAGTTAAGTAGCTCTTCCAGTATATGGCTCAGGAAATAAGTTCACGAAATTTTAAAAGCCATAACATCTAGCAAATGTGTGATTTTATCGTTAGATGAACAAGTTATGTATCAGTTCTCTGCACGCTGCACAGAGCATTGGGTATTTTGGTATTCTTGTCATTGCTTTTGATTGGTTGCTTTCTCTTTGAGCTTTTAAAATCATTAAATTTTAATGAAGCTGGAAAAGCTTATGTGATGGGAGCGAAGCTGAGAAATTTTTGTTATCTGTTTCTTTTTTCCTTGCACACACTGACATGCTGAATTCTGTTTTATTTACAGCACTGATAAGCCTACATGGAACTCGGTAAGTCACCACAGGTCTACATATGATGAGATCCTTTTTTTAGTGTTATGCTTGGGATTCTCCGTCTTCTTTATTCATATTAAATGCTTTTCTCTTTACTTGTTTATTGACATGGTTTTAGACATTCCTTGCAGGAGAGGAAACTTCTTTTAGAAAGAAATGGGGCATATGTTGCCAGAATCTCTGTGTTTGAGGTCTGTACTCATTACATGCATTGATGTTGCATTGAATGTTGCATTATTCTCAGTTCCTCAGAGAATCTATTCACCCAAAAATGGAACTTTTATTTGCATAGGTTACTTGTTAGGCATTGGGTATATATTACTTATCCATGATATTTATGATAACATACTCTTATCTTGTACTGAAGTGGCAGTATTTTTATTTTAGTAAACTATCAATACATACTAAATAAAATAAAGAGATAAGACAACAGATCTTAGTCTTATCTTATAGTCTGCTGATTGATATTTTATGTGATACAGACGAACAAGTTATCCAAGAACAATTTGGTTGGTTATTGTGAGGTTGATCTACTTGAATACCTTTCCCAGGTGTGTTGTATGATGTTTATGTTCAGTAACTCTTAAAAATACAATCTTTTTCTTGAAATAATATTCACACTTCCCCTTCTATCCGTCCCAAAATTACCCCCCCCCCCCCCATTTCCTTTTAAGGAAAACGTTTTGTGATACATATTATTTATCTCCTATGAAAAACTCTAAACCACAAAGTTTTCATTTTCCTCATCTTCCTGTCCAGTCAAAGCAAGAGGGTGTTTATTTGGGGATAGTGGGTGTAGTTTGGATGTATATCACTGGAACAAAATGAAAACTACGTAGTTTTGGTAGGATAAAGTGTAGAATGTTCTATATAAATATAACCTTATCAGTTATCATGTTCTTGTTTTTTTTCTTCAGTCTCTTCTGGTATAATAGGAGGAAAGGAGAGAGTTTGGTGTTATTTGTCTCTTATGTAATGCCAGTAGTTCTATGTTATCCTTTAAAAATTTAGCCCCCATGCATTTTCTCTCTCAATACATTTATTTGTACTCTAAAAAATTTTTTATCCGCCATTACTTGATCAAAGATCTTTTCTTGCAGGACTCTGATTCTGATGTTGAGGTCTTTGACTTATTAGATCCATCAACACCATCTGTAGTTGTTGGCTGTATATCTATTTCATGTTCTATTGAGGTACATGAATTGAGACTAGCCAGTTTCTTTGTTTTGGGCATGAAAAATCCCAACCTGACACATTTTATATAATTTTAATTTTTATGGCATTCTATTCCACCTTAACGAATTTGCAGGATCCAGTTGAAACAGAGAAAAGTTTTACAAAGCGCATCTTGTCTATAGTGGTATGCTGCCATTACTCAATTCCTGGCTCGTGCTGCTAAATATCCATAAGAACTTACATGAACTCGTGGTTCAGTTTTTTGGCTTTGTACATGCTCAATATAGATATGGAGATTCATTTTGTTGATCTGTGCTATACTTTTTAATGCTTAGTGTAAAGTTGTAAACGATGGAGGATTAAACTAATGTTTTCCTGGTGCTTCCTTCAGGACTATAATGAAGATGGAGAGCTTTCATTGAATGAATTCTCTGATTTAATTGATGCATTTGGAAATAAAATAGCTGCTGAAAAGGTCTGCATTCTTACTATTATATCTCTAATTTAAACTGAATTTGCTCGACCACTTGTGCTGAGATTAATTCCTCCAAAGTGCAAAATTAAATGCCACAGCTTTTGATGATTAACTTACGTTTTACTTAGTATTTCTTTCTTCTCTTTTTATTATCAGAAAGAAGAGCTATTTAGACAAGTTGACAAAAATGGGGATGGTGTTGTCAGTTTGGATGAGTTGGCTATGCTTTTAACTGCACATCAAGAAAAGTAAGGGTATAATATAATTATAACCTTGGGGTGTTATTGTGCCACCATCACCCTGCATGTTTTAGAAGGTTAAGACTGAAGGATTTTTAACTTTCAATGGAAATTAGGTTGCTTTTAGAACAACTTTGTCAAACTATAGAGAGTAGGTCATGGCTTGGGTTCTCCTAATCTGGTCGGTTTTTTACCTTTTCTAATCTGTCTTCTTTCTATTCATAGATACTCTATATGAATCCTATTGTTAGAATTCTTTATCTTTTGTTTATTGAATCTTGAACTTGTAATGCTTTCCTCATAGGGAGCCACTCATCAACTGCTGCCCAGTTTGTGGCGAGGTTCTTGAAATCTCCGATTTGTTGAACAGCATGATTCATTTGACACTGTGCTTTGATGAAGGAACTGGGAATCAAATTATGATGGGAGGGTTCCTCACTGACAAGCAGGCTTCCAGTGGGTTAGATCTGATTCTTTTTGTGCTTATATCTTGAACTAGTTGATCTGTTGATGTTTCTTATAGTCATGCTATAACACCATTCCTTAGAAGTTCTTGGTTTGTGTTGTACATAATGTGCTTTAGATGGATGTTCAAACTGAGTGAGTGGGCACATTTCTCAACATATGAGGTTGGTTTGAGGTCTGGTTCCAGTGCATCACATATATTGGTATGTCTCTACTTCTTTCTAATTTCTGTCATCCCTACAAGAACCAACATTTCTTCCATGGTTCTATAGGAACTATGCATCCTTGCAATGAGTCCTGAATTGACCATAAGTTTCTTAGGTGAGCTAAATATATTGATGTCGTCAAGGTGCCACATAACAAGCTCTAATTTGATTTCATCCATGATCAGGTATATGATCGAAAAGTGAAGAGGCTGGTGGAGGAAATAATAGATGGGAAGATTGTATTGTCAATGAGGGCCATTTATCAATCTAAGTTTGGGCTTGGACTTATGGATAATGGTATGCTTTGTACTTTTTAATACAGTGATCTTGTTTAATATTACTATATTTATTTCTCTATCATAAAGTAGCTTTTACTGATCATATCAACTTCTAGATCTCTTTCATGTAATCTTTTCAACACATATTGTCCCAATTTCGATGCAGGGGCAAAAGAAATCCTGCAGAGCCTCTCTGAAAAGCAAGGCAAAAAAATGGATGCTCTTGATTCTGTCAAAGATATACCAAAATTTCTTGAATTGTTTAAGGTGTCCATCTCATGCATTCTCAAGTCTCTTCTGATCTCTTTGTATCCTCAATTGTTACATACATGCATTATTAGTTTTAGCTTCTTGCTTTTGCTTCCTGTCCAAACCTTCAAGTAAAGTCTAAGTACACAGACAGATGTCATAATAAAGTTTGGATTTACCTGAAAACATCCCAAATGCTTTGTTCAGTTATTCCCCAGGAATAATTTATTTGAATAAATCAACACACAATTTTCTCATACCATTAGTGATGTGCTTCATCCCACCACATGACCTGCTGTTATGGACGAAACCAGTAATTGATTTTAAGGTCACCAGGATTGCCAATACAAGGAAATATAGGTTTTATTTTCAGCATGGCCCGCTTTAGCAACACAGGAGCGAGTTTCTAATTGCAAAAGGTAAATAAATCTTTTTATCTTCTTTATATTTCTTATGTTCTTTATCCTTTTATCCTTTTTATCTTATTTTCCCCCCCTTTTGTCTTATCATTTCTATCTCTATCTTATATTTATCTTTATTTTATCTTTATGTTAACTTTTTTATCTTTTTTATCTTACCTTATCTTTTTATCTTTCTTATCTTTCTTTACTTTTTAGCTCCGATTTCATGTGTCGATTCATGTTAGCCGACCCCAACCTCTATTTGGGACTAAGGCTTGGATGTTGTTGTATTATTTAAGAATAACCTGTCAAGGGTTAGTTTTGTCAAGAATATTGATTTTAAGACTCACTGAGTCACTAGTCATTTGTTCTTGTAATAATAATTTTAGTACATATCTGAACTTAGTAGACTATGGAAGAAGATACCTATCAATTAAGAGTTTAAGATATATTACTTGCAAGTAGAAGATAGTACATAATGATACACAAATATTATTTCAAGTTAAACATCTTAACACTTTAACATCCAATCTATGATTTGATTTGACGTTTTGTCTCTGTCACCCTTCCTCAAGACAGTCTACCCTTGGGTAAGTCACATCTTGGAAAATAGGAGTTCAGCACAGTGTGAGCGTGTGACAACGAGAAGGAACATATGTTGTGGCAGAACTAGCAAGGGTGGAGGTGTAGCTAAATATGATAGATGTCTTTTTTGAGGGAAAAGGGAGCATAAATCAGGAGAAAATGTAGGAGTACATCCCCTTCTTTTTGGAGGAAGAAGCAGTATATGCTTTTTTTTTTGGGGGGGGGGTAGTATATTTTTTTGTTTTGTTGTTCAGGGTTGATATTTAATAGCTCGGATGAAAAGTGCTACCTTTTTTTTTGTTCCAAGGTTTACAGTGCGTTCACTGTATGTGTAGTTTGGGAATCTGGATGTAGAAGGTGCGGAGGTGGATCACGAGAATGAAGTTGTCTGTCAGTTTAACAGAATTGTAGTCAAGGTAAATATAGAGGAGCATGGACGGATGATGGACCAATGGAGGAAATTGTTGGAGCAACCAAGGATCCCTATTGCACTTGACTCAATCTAGAATATTTTTTTGGAGATTTAACTCACTATAGGTGAACCTGTCAAGAAGGAGCTACGTGTCAGCCAAAAGATAAATACTAGGTCAATGGCTGATTTTGAGTCTAATGAGATAAATGAGAGAAACATAGCTCCCATTGTGCACACCCTTTGTGTTCTTACTAGCCTTGCCCTAACATGCCACCTCAATGTTCTTCGTTTTTTGGAATTCATGTGTTACATGCATAGTGTATCTTTAATAATTCATTGTTGCCTCATGTTCTGGTCTTGGCCAATGACTAATTCAGTCTTATTAGTTGTGTGTCGGTTTTAGGCACAATTACTCGTGTTCTCTTTTGTCTCTAACTATTGCTGATTTGCTGTAGGATCAAATCAAAATTGATGAGGTCAAGTACCCACTGGAGCATTTTAAGGTGGGCTCTCACTTTCACTCTACCTGGAATTTCATTTGATGGTAACAAGATATATACTCAGTAGGACTATTGATGTTTGATTTCCATATGCCAGTTTATGTGTAAGGTTTGGTAACAAAGTAGATTAAAAATTAGTGGGCGAAGACCTAATCACCTTTTGAGTTCTGAAGTTTACTGGGAACAGTTTTACCTGAACGATATACATGAACAACAAATAGTAGTAACATATTGTTTAAATTTCTTTGAACATAATATCTATAAAATAGATATGATTTGTTAACACTTAACAATGCTCTAATGCTAGTTTTTTTTCTAAGATAACACATACTCTGACTCTCGTAGACCACAGGTTAATAGTTTTAATCCTTTTTTGGAGTTCACATGAAACACCAAATCAAGTAAATGACCTCATAACAACTTTATCCCACTAACATCATATGGAAACATGATCAGGATGGTATTCGGCCTCCGTGGATTCTCGAGAAATGTGCATAGTTGTTGTCGTCCTCACACTTTATCCCACTAAATCAAGTTATTCCTTTTTCTTTCCTACATGGCTTTTCTATGTTGTTGTCGTCCTCACATTTGTTACTCTCGAGAAATGTGCATAGTTGGCCATGTCGCAGCTTTCCTAAAAGGCTAAAATTAATTTTTCTACTGTGTGCTAACACAATGTTAATATTATGCTTGGTTTATCCTACACATTGGAAAAATCATGTAACCTAAGATCAAGAACTTAAATTCCCATCCTTGTCTGTGTACCATCATTTTCCATCATTTGTAATGGAGCCAAAGTTTCATTATTTTTTGGCTTGAGAATATGATGGAATAAAGCAAAATGACTCACTAAACTGTCTGCGCTTATTTGTTATGAAGCAGCAGTCAGTCCATGCAATTTTGGACGCGATTTTCACTATGGGTCATCCGGAAACAGTCTCTCTGTGCTTTAGTATAGGGGTAAGACTGCGTACATCTGACCCCCCCTTACCCCACCATAGGTGGGAGCCTTTGCGGCACTGGGGTAAATGAAAATGAAAAAATGTCTGTGTACCATCAAGTATTCATTTTTTTAAAATCTCAGATAGGGTCGAACTGTTTCAACTAAATCAGGGTTGTGGTAGGCTCTCTGCCAACAATATTTTTATCATACTCTGGGAGAAAATAGACCCTTTTGGTGGGACCCTTCCTGGACCCTCGGCTTATGGGGACGCCAACGTGCTTCTGGCTGTCCTTTTCTTACACTTGGAGAAAATAGAATTCATCTAGCAAATCCAACTGGATAGGTTTAAGAGTTATGTTGCTCAGTGAGATGAAAATCTTGTCCTCTTTTCTGAGTATTCCCTATTTCAATGTTTTCCAAAATCCATGCACCGCTTAATTTTGATATATAGTTTCACTTTTAAGGATTCATCCGATCAGTAACAGTATATGTTTTCTTTTTTAATTTAAAAATATTCTCCACACATTGTTCATTTGTTCTTACTCACAAGTTTCTTTCTAGACATTCAATGAGTTTTTCATAAGAGAACTGAAGTCTGGTGCACGCCCAATTACCTGCCCGGAGCACAGTGACATCGCTGTGTGTGCAGCTGATAGCCGCCTTATGGCGTTCAACAATGTTAATGATGCTGCAAGATTCTGGATTAAGGTATAAAATACTTTTATTTTAAAATTAAATCTATTATTAATAGCAAGCTTGTAACCACTAACCACACATACGAATACAAAAGGTTATGTTTGCTTGCCGCGTACAATTGAAGAAGCATGTGCTATTTTTTCAAGGGAAAAATAATTAAAATACCCCAAACTTTGAAGGGATGTGAGGTAAGCACCCTAAACTTGCATATGTAATTTAAATACCCTAAACTTTATATATAAAGTTATTTTAGCACCATGGCCATGCTTTATTTCTTTAAAAAATGTTAATTTTTGGTGTTAATTTCATAATTTGAAATATTTTAGCATTCATGAAGATTCAATTAATATTCTAAACATCCATTGAAAAATAGATAACACCACCTCCACTTTATATAATTGGACCATTTTTAATTTTTTATTCTAAATTATGCAATTAACAACATAAATTTACATTTTTGAAAAAAATAATAAATGACCATGGTGTTAAAGTAACTTTTTATATAATGTTTAGGGTATTTAAATTACATATGAAAGTTTGGGGTGTTTATCTCACACCCCTTTAAAGTTTGGGGTATTTGAATTATTTTTCCCTTTTTTCAGTGGCACACAAAAGGTTCAACCTAATTTTATGATCTTCATACGAAATACAATCTAAATGATCAATGTAGCGCAAATTAACTTGATTTTATAATGCTATATTAGACTGGTAGCAAATTCTACATTATAAACCTTTATAACATTTAACATTACCTTAGGGCCGAAAATTTTCCATCCAAGGGCTTTTGGGGAATGAAGCTTGCTCCAGTGCATTTGTTGATGGAAGTTTGGTGATATTTAGGTTGGCACCACAGGTAGTCTCAGCTTTCATTGTTTTCCAGTGATAAGCTTTATCTTTCCAGATAGTCTCCAAATCCTGTTGATACATCCTTCTGGACTCATTTCAGGATTACCATCGTTTCCATTTTCCTGTCTCTGGAACTATTGAGAAATTTGTAGATATACCTGGATGCTTGTATACAGTATGTATAGTATTTATTTTCCCTTGGATCATATTTAGTATCCAAATGAAAGTTCTCTTTAACTATTCAATACCTTCCTGACTACCACTTGTGCCTTTTCTTCTAGGTGAACCCTATTGCTGTCAATAGCAAGTATTGTAATGTTTTCACAGAGAATAAGAGAGTTGTATCAATAATATCAACAGAAGACTTCGGAAAGGTTTGGCATTTTAAAAGTTAGGCTTACATTTACTACTCTATGCATTTTCTCTCACAAAGAACAATAAGGCTTTCTGTTTTTAATAGATTGGTGTGTTGTCAAACCAATGGATAATTGTTGCTTATTTCATTCTTTCCCAAGGCATGTTTGATTATTGATCATCTATTTTTGCTCTCAATCTGTAATGAATCTTAATCACTCTAAGGAGTTTTAGTACGGCATGAACACAGTGATTAATTGTGTAAGGGCAAATGGGCAATATTCCATATTCTGCGATCACATATTCACATTATTTGTCCTGGAATTCAGCTTTGGTATTCTGTACTATTTTAGCATGCATATCATCCCTTGCACTTCTAAGATATTCAGTATGGAATTGTGCATTAATTTCTTAAGCAATTTCACATTTCAAAGAATATTTTTATTCAAGCTGCACACATGCATCATACAACTTGCACTACACAAGAGATGTTAGGACATAGTTTGTGCATCAACTCCATAGACTCCTTTATCACCGGGGGTAATTATTTCACAGTTAGGGTCTGTTTTGCTAGAGGTTTTGAGTGGAATGTTTTGTGGAGGGCTTAGTCTATATCTTGACGTGTATATTTGAGATTTTATTCAAATTGAAAGACGAAATAATATGCAATTGTGTATGATTTCAATCACCTTTTATTCACTTATTGATAACATTCTATTTATCAATATATTTAGACTAAGGACTAAGTCTTCCAAAGCATTCTTCTCAAAACCCCTCCAATACCTTTCACCTAAACATGATGGAGGGTTTTTAGATAGGTTTAGAAGGGAAGGCATTATTTCAATCTTGATAATGAGAAGAAATATTATTTAAATCTTTCAATTTTAATTATCGTAGTTTAAGATATAGTTTATCCCTCCAACATCTTCCCTCCCAAACACCTCTAAAACGCTTGATCTAAACAACCACTGTGAACTTTGAGGCTGTTAAAAAATATGTTTCTTCCTGAAAACACAGCCTATGAAGTCAAACTCATTCATCGTCATGAGGGTAGCCTGTACCTTCTTGCTTGTTGCTTTTCTCAATCATTGGTGTCCAAGATGTCGTTATTTTCTCCATATTGACTTTAATTTAGTTGTTTCTAGCATAAATTTGCATTTTAAATGCAGGTTGCCTTTGTTGCAATTGGAGCAACTATGGTTGGCAGCATCACTTTTTCAAAGAAGGAGCATGACTATGTTCACAAGGGAGATGAGGTTTGCAATTGATGACACGAGCTTTTACTATACCTTTCTCATTTGTATTTCGTTCCACCTGGGTTTACCTATCCTTCTAAACCACTGTTTTGCAGTTTGGATATTTCTCTTTTGGTGGAAGCACTGTAATTTGCGTCTTTGAAAAGGCAAGGGCACTAGCGCCTGATTCAATAGAAAATGAGCACACTTTGTTATTGCTTCTTCATTATTATATGGAGTATAATATAGTTGTTGCTTTTGACCTCTTTAGCATAATATAGTTAGCTGAAAGCTGAAAAACCAGTGCTTATAAGTAAAAGTTGATTTTTTTAACGGATGAATGAAGTAGTAAATATAAAGACACAAAAGATTAGGGTTTTAACTTTTAAGGCCTTGTGCATTAGTAAAAATTAGTTTAAGCTTATCCCTCTGTATATCTGATTAAAGCTATTAGCTTTACCAACTTTAGCCTGAGTGCCATGTCACTCTGCACCTAATAAAGTTTTCTTATCTCAAACATGTTATAACTATCATCCTGTTGTATAAAATCTTGTGAAGTGTTCCAAACATAAAAAAAATCGTACAGTCTAGTCAAAGTTTGATATGGAAGAGCTATTGATTCAATTGTAGGGTTCCATAAGGATAGATGAGGACCTCCTGGAAAACAGCGCACGATCACTTGAGACATTAGTTATGGTTGGAATGCAGTTAGGGGTATCCATGAAGAAACAGGCTGATGTCAAGTCTAAACTTGAAAACCTTTCTTTAGGCACATGACTGAGTTTTCTTTCTATGCATATTTATTTTTGAGAAACAAACATTAATATGTGGGTTATTTCATGGCCTTAATTACACATAAGGTGGATATCTTTATCTGCTGATTGATCTGATTGTTTATTATTGTTAATGCTTTAGCTAAAAAACCGGTTATAGACTTATAGGGAATGGTTGGCGCTGAATATTAGTTCTCTGCAGCCCTGCAGGTGTTAAGAATTGTTTCTCAATTCTCATGCCGTTGTTGACTGCCTTATATTTTGTCAATTTTGTCGATGTTTTTATGTGAAAATTGTTTGGCCTGTCAAAAATTTTAAAGAGACATTCGGGCAATGCCACCAACTACGAGGTAATTGGTATGTTTCCTATAAACATTTGAATTTGATACTTGTGAAGTTAGTTACTTTAAAAAGTTTATTATAATACTTTATAAAACATAGTTATATTTCCATTTTTAAACTATTAATAATTTCGTCATTTGTTTAAATTATCGCTGGTATTTTCAAGTAACTTTGACATTCTGAAATCTACGACTCTTCTTCACGGAAAAAACAGTTGACTGTTACAGTATATTGGTCTTGACTTTTGACACAAAATTCTTCTCTACAGGTAGTAAGTAGCACTAGTAGCCATAGTAGTAATTATACGGTTGAGTGGTGTGTTGGACGTTCTCTAATCCTACTTGTCCCTGCATTCCATTCCTTGCGTATTGTTGCCACATTTGTTGTTCTTCTATTAACAGTCTCTGTTTCTTATCTATATCTGACATCTGCACGTATGCTGGTGGTGCTACTGAAAGTGAAGCGGTGAAAGGGTCTGTTCCTGGTGCTGCATTGGCTGCCCCGTCTGTGGATGGCGGTGCCGGCAGCGCTAGCATTGCTGGCTTCCCGGCTGAGCCGAATGCGACACTACTTGCACTGCCTGTCGCTACGATGCCAGAGGACGTAACTGCCTGGTTTAGCACTCCTTGATGATACATTCCGTCCAGCATCAATTGATCGAAGCCACCTGGAAGTTGTACCTGCCAAGTCATCCCAGGATATAAGACTCAAATATGGGAATTATCTGAGATGGGGAACCTTAACACACTGAGTTAGGGGTGGATTCGGGCCGGACCTAGGCCTGGGCGGGCCGCCGGTTCTGAATAGGTGGGCCCGGGACTGGCCCGGGTAGCCACCGGGTCCGGGCCGGGCCGGGCCTCGGGTCATTTTTTTTCCCTTTTACTAATTACCCCCCAACCCCCAATCCCCCAAACCACCCCAAATGGCCCAAAATACCCATCCCAACCCAAAAAGTTAAAAAAATTGAAAAAAAAAAAATAAAAAGCCCGGAACCGGGCCGGTTCGGCTTTTGGGTGACCCGAGCCCGCACCGGGAACCCCCGGGCCGGGTCTACCCGGACCGGTCACTGGCCGGGCCACCAGGTCGGGCCGATTCAGCACAGTACCAGTCCCGGGCCGGTTCTGGGTCGGGCCACCCGGCCTGGCGGCCTGAGTCCAGGACTACACCGAGTAGCCTAAACCAGATTCAACAACTCCAGAGATGGATAAATAAATGTGATAAACTAACTCGAGACAAACTCTCCTTAATACCGAGTGTCAAACTAAAAAACAAATGGCAGTTTAATCAAGCTTAAATACTTCATTGAATTGGTCCCAGACTCCCAGCTCACCTAAAAAAGATCCTAGGAGGTGAGGTGAGGTTTTGCTTATCCAAGCTTGAATAAGGTGTGAGAACATATTAATCACATATGGGAACAAGATCATGTCAAGACTTTCATACCATGGTAAAACTAAAAACAAGCACAGATCATGGTAAAACTAAAAATGAGCATACAGATTTGGAGTCCCAATCTTGCCACCAAAAACATAAAGATAAAAAAAAAACTAAATGTTACCTTCTGGTTTGATAGATGGCTAGTGGATTGAACAAGAGCGGTTTCCCAATCACCGGTGAAGGCTTCCCAGGGAGTTATTCCTGTTGTTGCAGCAGGGGGGGCTGTTGCTGGAGCACCGTCAAACAAGGCTAAGGCCAACTGGTTAGCGTGTTCTTCTGGTGTGGGAGCATCTCCTCCCAAGTTCAACAGATCTCCTATTTCCTGCTCTTTCTCCTCCTCCTTTGGCTCCTCCTCTTTCTTTTCTTCAAATAAGTCCTCAGGCGGTGGTGGTGGTGGTAGTGCTTTTGTTGCATTTGCATCTTCTTCCTGTTCTTGTTCGGGTTCCGGCTCCTTATCTTCCACTTTCACAGGTGAAGGCTCTCGGCTCTTCATTTTTCTTGCCCTTTCCATTTCCGTTTTCTCCCGTATAATCTCTTCCATGATGTCAAGTTTCTTCTTTGGATAATTCTCCATGTCCGGGTAATCGGATAATCGTGCAATCCCTGCAGATTTGCTCCACTCGTAGAACATCTCGAGTTCATCATATTGCTTGGAGACGCGGTAGAAGATCTCGTAGACTTTCCTGGAATCAGGAATGTCAAGCTTCATGAATCGGTCTACTAAGATCCCAAATATTTCTGCCATCGCGTAATATATTTGGAAGCTTTCCCTCACGATTTGGTACATCGCGACAAACACTAGCCTGTTGTGCTTTGCAGCGCCTGCAAGTTCTCATGCACATAAGAGGTATTTCCATGAGAGATGATGGGAGACTAAGCATTTTGGAAGAGTTCTGTTTTTCAAACAAAAAACTTCCATTTTTATTCCCTAATTATTTAGCCATTCTAATTTTATATTCATAGTTTTCATCTTTTCTCCAATTTTTGTACACGATTATGATTTTGTTCTCACCTTTTATCCTTTCTGGTTGCCACTTTAAAGACAAAAATCATCAAGATTCAGAAACCTTACGGAAGATGTTCAAGTAAGTGCTCGGAAGGATAGATCATGGGAAACAAAAATTAGAGAAGTGAATGTGGGGAATCAAAAGTGAAATAGTTTAGCTTTCATATGTCATAACTAATTTTGGAAAAATAGCATAAATCTGTTTTGAAAGGAAAAGGTTTGGCAGTATATATACACATTCAATGAGACATTGCTGGAGCATACCTGCAGGTCTGCAAGCTAAGAACCGATCAAGAATTTGCATGCAATGCTGAGTTCTCGAGAACAAATGCTCATTCTTCATTTCTGAAACGGGAGTGGTCCTCACAACAATGGCTCCTGGGCCCACTTCCTCGTCGTCTTCTTCGTACGTGAGCGCACCGTGTTTCCCTCGGCGTGTCTGCATTCGGAATTCTAGCTGTTCGTCGAGGTACAATGAATATGTCCTCACAAACGCCGAAAAGTCCCATGAGTTAGAGCGGGAGTCACGGAAATCGGACATGTTCAGGAGGCGGGTCCCGCGCCGGGTGGCGAAGAAGAACTCTTGCTCGTAGGATTGATCACCGTCAATGAGCAAGCGGTGGATGACCATGAGTGACTTAAGTGCGACAACCCAATTCTTCGTCTTGCTGAGGCGTCGGGAGATGGTGCTCACACATGCACCCACGTACGCACGTGAGTAGCACGTGAGACAAAGAATCTCCCGGATGTGCTTCTCCTCGGGCGGGTATTCCTCGTGTCGGGTTGCCTTGACAATGGCGATCTCGAGCTCCGAGAGGGAAGCGCTGCCGCCTACTTTGGCCAGGCTTATGCTCGTCTGGTCCTTCACCGCCCCTATCGCCTTCCTCAATTTACTCCCAGCCATGATATTATCTTATGTAATTATATTATGAATTTAACTATTTATTCGTTCGAAACAGAACTAATAACAGGATCAATGAAATAATTTCAATGCATGCATGGGAAGCTAACAATAACATGCATGCAGAATGTTGGAAAGTTGTTTTATTGACGGAGAAGAAGAGAAGAAAATGATGTATCCTCAGCTCTTCTCCTCTTGAAATGTAAGATCCTAAATGGATTTTTCTTGTTGCTCTTATTTGTCCCTTTCTTTTATATGTTTTTGATTTATTGGTTTTCTATTGACTGGTTTCTATTGACCCTTCAATACTTCAATTTATCCTAGCCCTTGTTGCACGAACATATCGGGCGTTGAAAGCAAGTCAAAAGCTTTTCCAATCAGCGGTGTATGTTTTGTTTCGATGACTTTAAAATCTCATTTTTAAAAAGGAAAATCCCATTTCTAGACCATTGGAATTTAATAAATATAAAAATGAATTTCGAATTGAAAATAAACATGTAAAATAAACCATGGGTCAAATATAATCCGTTGTCAATATACAATTATACGTACATATAATACAATTAGGCTCTACCGTACGTACCACGTACAACATTACAATTAGTTTGTTGAAACATAAATAAATCATGAAATTCTGGTAGAGTGGGTGGGGTTTTGTGACAAAGTTTAATGTGTTAATTCCTCTAATTCCTCTAATGATATATAATTGTTGTGCATTAGTGATACAAAAATTGTCATATCCTTGTGCTATAATTAATCAGGCAAAGAATACTAGCTGTAGCTAGAGGAATAAATTTAGTTGTCTAAATTTGTCAAGATGTTTAAATTGTATAGAAATGCCAAGCCTTTTTATTTTATTTGACTACTAAATTTGTCGGTTCACCGTGTTATGTGGGTAATTAAATCATAAGACAATGGATGCATTTTAAATCACCAGAAACTAATGTACATATTTCACATTGAACTCATTAAATTAGAGCACTTAGGAGTTAGGTGGCCTTTACCGTTAGATCCACCGCGGGTGACATGATTCGATCTTGAGTCTTAATTTCAATATTTAACCTTCAAAACTATTTGATCGCTGCTATTTATGGGGCTATTACGTTTTCCCTTTCAATGCTGGGGACAGTACAAAACATTTTGATGATCTAGCAAATTTGTATGGGTTGATAGTTTGATACAATTATTTTATCATTAAAACTTTGTTATGCATGCAATGCAACAATGTTAATTTCATGAAAAATTTGCGACATATTTATTACTTTTTGCAGTGATAGTAAATTTAATGTTACATTTAGTCCGGAAATTCATGATATAAAAAGTAAAGATATGTATATGAACACACTTTATTGATTGGAAATTTGGAACTCATGATCATTAGTTAGTGACTGCTGTAACCCCGAAAGAAAACGGAACAAGTTACAAGTTATAAGCTTGATCTCTTGGGTACCAAACGTTGACAGCATGTTAAACATACTGATTACTAAATAATTAAAAGGCGACAACTCCGGTACTACCCACTTAAAAAATAGAGTATCGTAATTATCATTCACTTGATTGGTCCTCATCATTTTATCATTTTTAATTTAGATTTAAATAATTCAATTGCATCATTCTGATTGGTGCAGGTGGAGAAATGTTTGGTACCTTAAGGGTAACATAGAATCTAACTAATCAAAATGGGGGCAGCTGGCCGGACTTTTATGGTAAATTTGGCCCGTGAGAGGATGGCGGCAAATTTTTTACAAGATGATAACTAGGATGATGGAAGTGACTTTCTTCAAAATCAAACCTTTTTACCTAAAATTGATAACAAAAATAATCCAACCTCTTATCGCTCTTGTCAAAATAATCACATCTATTTCAAAATAATCTCACTTTTACATCTCATTTTCTTTTGACATGCAATGCAAACACACTATTTTAGAAATAAATTCCGCAAAATGCAAACAACACCGGAAGGTCCCGGAAGGTCACATTTAAACTTTGAATGATTTGAATATTCATACAATATAATACATCCATTTGGTTTATACAATATAATGCATCCATTTGGTTTAGATAGTAGTGATTGTTCGATAAATAAATAATTTTTTACCACTCATACAAGTACAAGATCGTAAACATGAAAGCCCATGAGGATTGAGGACAGTTAAAATACTTTCATGAACGCGTTTTATAAGTGATGGCTGTGATGGAGTATTCTTATATTATTAGTGAACATTTTATTCGTGAACATTCATGAATATTTAATATGTGAAAACATTTAATATGACAACTCGAGGTAAAAGTAGTCGTGACTTTTTTATTTTTTGTTGCTCTCTCTGTCTCATTTTATCTGTCATACTTTTCTTTTTGAGTTGTCTCAAAATAAGTGTCTCATTTATTATTTTTTTAAAAAAAAAATTGTGGCTTACATCAATTCACTTTATTATACTCAAACATCAATCACAACTTTTACTTTTCAATCACTTTATTAATAATTGTGTCAAGTTAAAGTAAGACACATAAAACAAGATGAATAGGATGAAGGTAGTACTAGATTGGATAGTGTAATCAACTTCAAACTCTTTTGACATTAAGGTTTGGAAGTTAGGATGTTTTCTTTTGGACTGAAATTTGCTGGTCTGGTCTGGTCTGGTCTGTTTAAGTCTGGTCTGGTCTGGTCTGGTCTGTTTAAGTCTGGTCTGGTCTGGTCTGAACTGGTCTGGTCTGGTCTGGTAAACGTCTGGTCTCTGTGTATTTTATAACTACGGAAGTCTGGTCTGGTCTGGTCTGGTCTGTTTAAGTCTGGTCTGGTCTGGTCTGGTCTGTTTAAGTCTGGTCTGGTCTGGTCTGTTTAAGTCTGGTCTGGTCTGGTCTGGGACTGAAAACAGTCCAAAAGAAAATATCCTTAGCGGATTGGACAACTTTCGTCACTTACGATCTTTGGCATTATTTGTGAGCATCTTTGCCAAATTTGGGTTATCCAGGGCCCAGGCTGGAATTGAGAATTTAGATTTGTGGATTTACTTTTGGATTCAACCGATTGTTTGGAAAGGAAATTGACCAAACTGTTATTAATGTTAATAATTTATTATCAAATTATATTGATCAAATTGCTCCGTGGTAAAAGAAAGGAATAATGTCATAATGACACCTATATATAATCCTATACACCTAATAGTATTACTTGAATTTTACAGTTCTAGATAAAAATATGACGTTTATCACAATTATTAGGCCGGGTTACTATGCAATTAACACTGCTCCACTTGCACAGCAAAACATATACGGAGTAACACGTTTGTAAGAGTAGCTTGATTTATACCTAATTTTGTGAAAATAGAAACGTTTCATTAACTCAATTTCAACCAAAGTCAAATGCTACCCTCAATTAAGTTTATTGTCCTTAGTTTGGTGATTAATAAAATAAGCAAATATTGACCTCTTAGTCATGCAAGGATCCACAGTTTTGTTTTCTTTCTCAATTCTCAACAACAATCTCATAAAAGCAGATCACACCCCATCATTTTCCAACTTAATTTAACAATCAAGAAAAGGACCCAATTTACCCAATCGTAAATACAAATGAATGGCTAAGACTGATTTGGTTAAGTAAAATACCTTTTTAATGTGCCTAACTCCTTATGATATTCTTATGTGCCTACTTTGACTATTAGACCGTGTAAATTAAAAATGAAAATCCAATACAACAACATCCAAGCCTCAGTCCCAAACGATATTGGAGTCGGTTAACATGAATCGATACATGATACCACTAAAAAGAAAAGAAAGAAAATAAAGATAAAAAGATAAGCTATTATAAAAAAAGATAATATGAAAGAGGTGGATATACATAAAAAAGATAAAATAAAAAGGATACAATAATATTTATATATAAGGATAAAAATATATAAAAAAAATAAAAAAAAGAAAAAAAAAGAAAAAAAAGGGGAAAAGATGATACAAGATCACTCCTCCACACGAATACCCGCCCTTAATTTTGCTCTCTCCAAAGCCATACCCTCATCAAATCCAAGAAGAAGCATATCACTTCTGACTCCCCTAATCCACGTCTGTTTGGGCCTTCCTCTCCCTCTCTTCTCTGCCTCTTCTCCACACATCTCAACTCGTCTTACAGGTGCTTCACTCGGTCTTCTATGCACATGACCAACCACCGTAGGCGCGACTCCCGCATCTTGTCTTGAATAGGTGCTACTCACACCCTTTGTCTGATTGTCTCATTCCTCACGCGGTCCTTTCTAGTATGCCCACACATCCAATGTAGCATGCGCATCTCTGCCACACTCATCTTTTGAATGTGACATTGTTTCACCGCCCAACACTTCGTGCCATACAGTAATGCAGGCCTAATTGATGTCCTATAAAATTTACCCTTCAGTCTAGTCGGCATACATCGATCACATAGAAATCCTGACGCACTCTTCCACTTCATCCACCCTGTTCTGATTCTATGGGATACATCTCCATCTAACTCACCGCCCTTCTGAATTATGGAGCCCAAGTAACAGAACATATCGCTGACCGATAATTCCACCATCTAAAGTAATTTCGCTATTACCACTGCTTCTACCTCCACCAAACTTGCACTCCATGTACTCTGTCTTGCTCCTACTTAGTTTGAAACCCTTGTTCTCCAATATTTGTCGTCATACTTTCAACTTTGCTTTAACCCTTGATTGCATCTCATCAATCAATACAATATCGTGAAAATTCAATGCAATATGATTTTTTTTATTTAATTAGGGGCTTTAATTCAAGAGCTTAGTCTAAATAATTGAAAGAAGTAAACTCCAGTTGTTCGAACAATCTGCAAGCTTCACAAAGTCTCAAAGGCCTATATGTATATCATAACCCATAATTGATTGTCTTCATCTTCATGTCTATTCCAGTTTTAATTTCAAAATAGCACTCGAGAGAATCACAAGTGTTGGTCAAATGACGTAAAGTCTCCAACAAGAACTTAACTTTCACACTGTCATTTGATCTGGCAGAACCAGATTTTTCTTGAGGGGGGCGAAAGACTATTGTCAAAATTTAGCACTTACAGAGTACATTGTATTGAAATCACCGTTCTAAAAATCGGCCTTGTTGGACCGATCAATCGGCCTAGTGGCAAAAAAAATTGGCCTCATCGGCAAAAACAACGGCCTTGTCAGCCAAAAATTCGGCATAGTCGACCATCTAGACCACCTAAACACCTAGTG